TATCAATGCCTTCACTATTTGAGGTCTCATAATTATGGTCACTCTAATAAATTTATTCGATATGCTGTTGAATTTGGGCTGCTTCAATATCTTTATCCGTCTAAAGTACAGAACACAAAAATTTTGCACCCAGACCATATTGAGAAGGAAAAACTGTTCTTCGTATTATTTCGTGTATTAGCTATTGGATATTCTCTCTCTTTGATTTCATTTCTGATTGAAATTTTAAAACCAATATTTGGACGCAGAATGTATACTCTTTACACGAGATTTAGATTTGCAAATTAGAAAGACATAAATATTCTGAGGCAAAAATAATAATTCTTCAACTGGGGTAAGAATAGTTTACTTTTTTATATATATTTATTCTGAAAAGAATAATTATCAATAATCTTTAAGATCATAATATGAAAATTACAAAAGATAAATAAACTTAAACATAAGATAATAATTTAGCACCATAATACCACTAAAATGTTATCTTAATTTTTCTTTTCAGTTTATATTATATAAAAATCTTATATTACCTAAAAATTACAGATTTTTCCTTTAAAATTCAAATTCGTAGCGGAAAATGGTTTCAATTAAATGAAAGTGAGTTCATAATAATCATTGTCTTCAAAAATTGTCTGCAACTATAGTTACTTATTTATTTTTACATAGTATCCCAATGGGCACAACAATCACTTAAATCATTAATGCACCGGGTCAGTTATTGTAAAGTGTTAAAAAAAACATTATTCTTTGTACTTTGGGAAAAATTTGAGGAGTCAGAAAGAAAAATTTCTGACTTTACAATTTTAGGACCTCGATTACTGTGTAATGGAAAAATAAAACTCTTTCTATTGTATTACAAATTTAATAAAATAATTTATATTAATGAAATAAGTGAAATTATAATAAATTTATATGTAACTTAAAAGAGAGAGAGAAATTGTTATTATTATTATTATTATTATTATTATTATTATTATTATTATTAATAATAAATATAATTGTTATTATAATAATAAATTCAATTCAAAATATTGGAGATATTTACATTAAAAAAAAATACTGTGAAAAATTATCTTCAATCTAAAATAATTGCCGAAATTATACAAGCAATTATTGATAGTTAATTAACAAAATTCATTTATAATAATCATTATTTCAGACACATTTTTATCACAACAACAGCTATATAATTAAATAATTTATCAATTATACATCAACTAATGGGAAATATTTCTTGCATATAAACATATAAAATTATCGAAAGTAAAATTAGCATATTCATGGAATTAAATCAATGAGAATGAAAGAATGAGAGAGGGAGAGAATTCGATGAATTTCTCCATTGATAAATAAAAATTCTATAAGGAGACAATTTTGATATCATTTAATTAACAAAATAAGCTGAGATTTCTTCGTTTTAAAATTCGATTAAAAATAAAAAAGTAAAAGGATTTAGAGTCATTAAATGCACTTTTGAGAGCTGTTTGATAATTATACATATTATCTGTCCTGAAATTATCACTTCAACATATTCCAAATTTTGGTTTAATCTTTTAATATACCCGAATTATTTAAGAATGGTGGTGACCATACATAACCTCAAATTAAGAACTGATTTTTAACTATGTTTTTAACGCGAACTAAAAAATGTAATAAAAAATAATTTCAATAAATTATGGAATATATAAGTATATATATATATATTGTTCGTAAAAACAGAAAATATATGGTTGTAAAAAAATTTGTATTTGACGACACTTGATGTTAAAATCATATATGCTACAACCACATGTTTCACGAAGGTGGTTTAGTGAAAAACACTTGATAGTGCAATTATATATGTTATCTGACATACTCTTCTCAAATAAAACATAATGACTTGAATATGCGGACATAAGCACATGTCACATATGACCGACCATCATAACGAGAGTACGTATTCATATTTTATTATATTTACGCTTCAAAAAAGTCGCTTGTTATAAAATGGAAATACATAATCCGAGCAAGAAATAAATTTCCATTTTTTTCACTTGTAATATTTTTTCTTTTGTATAATTATATATGTGACACTCCACATCGAGAGAAGGGACCTTATAACTCAAAGAAAAAATTTATGTTATGTTTAGTTAGGGACCGTCCATAAACTACGTTACCACTTTTTCATTCTTTTTAGACACCCCCCCCCTCGTTAGCATTGCGTTAAATGCATTTTTTTTTAGAATTTTTGACCCCCTCCCCTCCCCTAAAATAGGTAACGTAGTTTATGGACGGCCCCGCATTATAGTTCTACCTTGATGAAAAGTTTCTTTATTTTAAATAGATAAAATCGAATTTAATTTTTATTGAAGTTTTTAAATAATAATTTAAATGTTACTTAAATATAAATGTTTTGTACTAATAGTTGATTCTCTGTGAGTATTTTCAATTCAAAAATCATAAAGATAAACTAAATTTTTTTTTACTTAAGATCCGTTTTCTCGTGGAACGTTATAGGATGGAGTTATACATGTTGATGTAAATGCAGAATGCAAAACCGAAAATAATGAGAGTGAAAAGGATAGTGATATATGACTGTCCTTTTCACTATCATTATTTTCGGTTTTGCATTCTGCATTTGCATCAACATGTAAATCCAACCTTACATATTGTATAATTATTTAATGTTTCTTTACAACATAGAAAATTTTGATATCAGTGGCGTAGCCAGGGAGGGGGTATTTTGAGGGTTTAAACCCCCTCTAAAATGTTGACATAGTTATATGCCTTTTTAAATTAAGTTTAAGATTTTTATTAATGTTTGAGCTTTCACAAAAACTCTCCCTAAATTTATTTCTGGCTACGCCCCTGTTTGATATGTTTAATTTTCACTATTATATTTTTGAACCAAATTCAAACGTCCAAAAGTGTTACAATAAAAAGTTTTATTTTCAAAAAATCCTTTTCTTATTAATTTACGTCAACGAAGTTCATAACGTTTATGATCAACGATTAAAAATTAAAAGTATTTCTCAAGCATAAAATAATAGAATTTCAAACAGAAATTCATAATTTATATAGAAAAATATTTTTTCTTCTATAAATTGTTGATCATAAACGTAGTATGTAAATTTCACCGACGTTATTACCTATTTTTGATAAAAGAAAAAAATTAATTCATTTGAATTGAATTTCAAATTGAATTTTAAAAAAATATCTAAATAAGGTGTCGTTTGTATATTTTTATTTTTAGAATATTTTTTCAACGTTTTCTTTTTCGATCTAGAGTTGCCATTTAAAATTGAGAGGATTTGAAGCATATTATTATAGCAATTAAATATGTATATGTATGCAATATAATATATATATATAAACAAGAATAAAAGTGACTAATTAAATTAATTAGTACATATAATAAGTTAAACAAGCATAGACTATTTCTTTACTATGTTAATGGGTTTCATACATTTATTTTGATGTGAGAAAGAATTTCTAATTCACTGAAATATCTCGTTAGAATTTTTTAGTTCATATTCACGTTAACGAACCGAAAAGCTGTAAATGAGTGAATCAATATGCTAATATTTTTCTCTCTCTATATTATATATAAAAGAGAAATGATGAGTTTCTAACAGAAATGCAAGTTGCAAGCAAACATTTTTAGAAACAAATAAAAATTGTGCGTATTAGTAAAATTTTTCAGTTATTTTTTTTCCTATTGCCAGATTATATGAATCAATATGAATTTTCGTCTCGAAAATAATTTATTATGTTTATTTGATCAAAAAATTATTTTAAAAAATGCATCTTTCTCGCTCTCTTAATTTGAATCAGTGAAATTTCACTGGTGAAATAGCTAGAAGTCGGTTACTGAATCATTTAGTGAAATTTTCACTGAAAATCAGTCATATATCACTGATTTCCAGTGAAAATTTCACTAAATGAATCAGTCAATCTGTATTATCGGTAATGGGTAAAACAGATTGACTGATTCATTTAGTGAAATTTTCACTGGAAATCAGTGATATATGACTGATTTTCAGTGAAAATTTCACTAAATGATTCAGTAACCGACTTCTAGCTATTTCACCAGTGAAATTTCACTGATTCAAATTAAGAGAGCGAGATAAATTTTTTATAATTTTTCGTCTTAAACAATAATTTTTTTTCTAATCGTTGCTCATAAACATTGTATACTTCAGAATTTTTTTTTTTTTAATTTTCGAGAAATTTAAAATATGTTTAAAATTATTATTAAATGATGATAAATATTTATTTATTTATTTAACATTGCATACGGGCTTACAAAAGAAAAACGCCCTTTTATTAAAACTAAATTAAATCTAAATAACTAATCTAACCTTGTGTTATCACTATATTTTTATCAAAATTCTTTAGATAATTATGCGCAAAAATCTAAATTTCGAATGATATAAATATTAATATTATGACTATTGTTTTTTGTTTTGCAACCTTCATTATAATTAAATGCCGCAGTTCGTTGAGTAGAAATTCATGAAAAAGGAAAAATATTGTCTCTGTGAGACCGTTATACTCTTCAATGACCATATTCCCGATAACACCGATATCATTTTATATAAAAGGATCATGGACCCTTGTTTTCTTGTTAACTACTTCTTTCTTTTTTTTTCTTGATCATGTAAATTTTATCTCGAAATTATTAACTCTTACTAAGAAAAAGAATTCTAATTGTATTGACACCTGCACTCAAACGTAAAATTATCCCAAAGATTTTTTTATTTTTTTTCTTTTAGTTCGAACTAAAAAACGAAACGAATAAAAAGTCTTGAGGATAAGAGGCTTTAAATAAGAAGAATTAAAAAAAAATTTAACCAAAAAAATTTTCTTTCACTGTATAGTTAATTTTTTTTAGTTAGTATTTTTTTTTTATTCTCGTAAAATTGTATAATTTTTGTAAATTGTATCTATATAATTTCAATTAAATTTTTTTTGTTTTCTTTTTCAAACATTTTATAAAATTTATTTTGCGTTTTTTGTTTTAGAATGCTGAGGAGAAAATGCATCTTCTAGTCCCCATCCTCTTGAATTGCCTTCACGTTCTTCGAATCGTGCTCGGCCAGGAACTTTCAGTCACACGACATGCAGATGGAGATATTTTCACAATTGAAGGTAATAAGAATGGCTAAAGACAATTCTGATTAATGGCTGAGGGTTTTTTTTTGAGTTATAACGAATAAAGGGAGAAAACCATGCCACATTGGTCAAGCAAATGTAATAATAATAATAATAATAATAATAATAATAATTGTGATTCTTTGAGAGGTAATTTGTCTATAGTATTTTCAGTATTTACAGAGCAATAACTCTTCAGAACCATAAGTGCTTACAAAATGGTCCATTGTTACAAAAAACTTGTATAGAAATTTATTGGTTTTTTTTTTAATTATAAAGTAAAATATTTTTAGTATATATTATATTTTCTATATTTAGTTTTTATAGTTGAAATTTAATATAAATATGTCAAAAATGATATTATAATATCAGAATTTTTTATTTTCAGCAGTTCAGATGGTCTAAACTATTAAATTTTGTTTTGTTTTTTTTTTTTAAATTGTTTTCTTCTTCTTATCATTAATTATTTTGTCTTTTCTTTATTTTTAGTATTTTTTTCCCTTACAATTCATTCTTATATTTAGTATATTATATTCTTAAAATGAGAATTAATTCTCAACAAATTTTTAATTCGATGCGTATAAAGTATTTATGAGGTTCCTGAATGTTCAAATGAACGAAATATTTTTTTCAATCTATTTAAAAATTATGATATCAATATAAAATAAAACAGTAAATTAAAAAATTAAATTAATAATTTCCTTTTAGATATTTAAAACAAAATTTTATAATAAAATTCATACTTAAAGAAATTGTAAAAAAAAAATTCGTTCATTTAAACGTTCAAAACTTTTGGCTCATGTATTTTGCGCGAAAAGCTGCGGAGAATGTTTATTTGTGAAATCATAACAATCACATAATCTTAAAATTACAAAGTCCGATAAGTTTTTGTCCGTTAAATTTCTCTTCTCCTCATCTCGTCTTCACACCAACGGTCTCTCACACTAATTGTCCCAATTACGGGACCTGCCCACTTACACTTGTAAGTACATGAAACTTTGTCCCTCAGAAGGAGCATCCGTTAATTTTCCAATTCCTTAAATTTTACACTCCCTACAGTCCCGAACTCGGAAATTTAACGGACTTGTACTGTATATTTACCCCGACGGTTTTCAGGTTTGCTACTTACGAATCTGACATTATAAATTCATAATCAGTGATCGCGAAAATCTTTATACGATTCTGATGCAATTTTCAAAAACATCTTTTATACCGGATTTCAACTTGAATATAATTATTTCAAGAAGAAAAGTAATAATAGAAAGAGAATATCCAACGACTAGTACACAAATTAGTATAGGTAAGAGTTTATCCTGTTCAATCCTTTCCGGTCCCGAAATATTACTACGTGAATGTTGAAAAGGTTTATAAATATGATTGAGTATTCCAAACTGTGAAGCTTTTAAGATTAATTCATTAAAGCGTTCGTTATAGGGTGAGTAAGGATATCCCATGAAAGAACTGAAACCATCACCAATAGATTCTGGTATTATTTTCACATTTATTTCGCCGTATTTAGCTTCGTATTCATTAACATGATCTTCAGCATTATCAAGAATACAAGTTACATTCCTATAATCAGCCAAGAATTTCAGACAATGTTCTACTTCTCCTATCATAAACTCATTTGATTTTTCTAACCATTGCCTAAGGTTAGAGGTTGAACTATATGGTAATATATTGTGGAATCCATTTCCCATCATTGGTGTCAAATTTAATTTCATAAGTTGTTCGAGAGTTGAAATTTCAGGAACTGGTCGAAAACTAACGTCAACAATAACTGTATAAAAATAACTTGAATAGACGATGCATATAATCAATAGTGAACCAAAAATTATTCTTTCCGACGAATATTGTGGTTCACTGTTAGTTCCCATTCCCATTATAATTTGAGTGATGTTGAAAGTTTGCCATGTATTCTTATTAAACTTTAATAAAAATGCTGCGAATCGTATAATAGAAATCATACCAATAGTTCCTATGATCATGTACCAAAATTCTGATGAAGTTTCAACGTCATTAGTGAATTCTATCCCTCGTGGAATAACAGCTTTAGCACTACTTAAATGTAGAATACGTATATTCAGAAATAACATATTTTCAAGACTATAATAAATCATCTTATTTATAAAAATTTCCGGATAAAAATCTTTTAGTTTTGATTCCCATTCCTCAGTACGTCTTTTTTCTTCACTTTCATTTTTAGCATTAAAAGGCACTTCCAATAATAGTGTTTCAGGCTCAAAATTCATTGCATGTGACAAAATTTCTAAAAATTGCATTGCCATCATGTATTGTCTTTCAGAAAAATAATTAGCTGGTATATAGTGAAATTGCAATTTATATCCATTCAGATTCAGTTGTTTATTTGGAAACCATTTACTTTTCGATGATACCATTTCACGAGAGTATTTTTTGAAAAAAGGATTTATTTGACTTAAAGTAGGTAATTTGTCAGAATAAGGATTGTATGTCAAGAAGGTAATATCCAAATATTTCATTTCCCAGAAATCAACCAAGGTGTTCACGATGTCCCGATTAGTTAAGAGAAAACTGTTTAGAACTAAACATTTTGGTTTTGTTGAGCCTATTAATAAATCATTGTCATTTTCCTCTCCATTAGTCAAAAAATGATCAAACTTCTCTATAGTACTATTATTTGACCACTGTAAAACAAACAGTGTAGTACTTCTGGGTCGTTTAAGCAACTTCCGGTATGATTCTGAAAGATTTGAATTCATTTGAGTGTAGCTGATGCTCAAAGATGGAAAATGCGAATATACTGTTGTCATAAGAGAATTCATTATTGGGTCTGTATTGTTTTCTTCATCATTAAGAATGAACACAACCTGATGCAATTTTGACTCTTTCTTTAAATACTTTATCAATCCATCATAGTAATTATTTGTTGGAGACATTCCTAGGATTTCTCCCCAAAAAATGAATCCAAAAAAATATATTATACCTATAAACTTCATTGTATATACAACCACTTTTCTTGACTGATAGAAACTTAGTGATAAAATCGAAGAAAGCAGTTATTAGAACTAACATAATTATATTTGTTTAAGAAAATAACTTGTATTTAACTTATACTTAAGGAAAAACTTAATATATTCTTCTGATAAATATTTGTAAATAATAGCAAATTTCAACATTTGTATTATCAATGTTGACGAAATTGTTGCTATAGTTACTATTAAAAACACCTGAAAAAATTTTCATAAACCCTCTATGTAAATAATTATTAAATATTTTTCCCATTTTTGTATAGAAATAAATAATAATTTTTTGTTTGTCAAGTATAATACTGACTCAAAATTTTATTTAAGTAGGACAAATTTAAAAAAAAAATCCTTAAAGTTCCATTTTTATAATTTTTTGAATTTAACCAATTTATTCGAATTAAAAATTTTGTTACAGTTTTTAGTTTTGATGGTCAAAAAAATTTCAGGCAATACTTAAACAAGTTTTATTTATTTATTTGAACAGAGGTTTTACAAATTTGTAAATAAAATTGTTTTTAAATAATAATTTTTGTAGAGTTGAAGTTGAAATTTTTAGAAATAATTGAATTTCAAAAGATTGTGTTAACTTTCAGACGATAATTAAATTTTACAGAACTAAAAATAATTTATGAAATAATTTTATATAACATTTTTAAAAATTAATTGAATTTTCAAAGATTTTAAAATTTTGATTTTTGAAATTAATTGAACTTCAAGTGATTTTTAATTTAAAATTTTTGATGATTTCTGTTACTAAAAAATTTATTAGAAATTGCAGACAAAAATACAATAATTTAAAAACTTTTTAAATGAAAAATGGTGTGAGTTGAATTTTCAAAGAATATTATAAAAGTCATTAAAAATAATTGAATTTCAGGAGAATTATAATATTGAAATCCTTAAATTTCAAAAAAATTTTAGAAATAATTAAATTTTAGAAGCTTTTAAATTGAAATTTTTGAAAATTTTATTTGCTAATTTTTTTAAAATTATAAACATTTATTAAATTTCATAAAAATTTTAATTGAAAAATAGTTTAAGATAATTGAATTTGTGAAGAATTTCATTAAAATTATTTAAATAATTAATTTAGTGAAGAATTTTTTTTAGTTAAAAATTTGTTAAATAATTGAAATAAAGAAGATCTGCATTGTATACTAAAAAAACGTATTTTGTTTAAAAATTTTGTAAAAAAAAATGTAAAAAAAAGTCGAAAAAGTCGCATTTTATTAAAAGAAGTCGAAAAAAGTCGTATATAATCCGAGGTCTGAGGATATTTTAATATACCTAAATTCTAAAATTTAGTAAATTATATTCTTGAAATAATAATATGTATTCTTGGCACTTATTAATAAATTGTTTTTGATGAATTTTATTTAATATTTAAATACCTATTTTATATTTTCAGAATAAAAATAATACTTACCCCTCGTTTACTGTTGTTTTTTAAATTACCGCAATGTGTCGCTATAAAGGTTAAAAAAAAGTGATTTCCGTGTAGATACGATCATTTGAAAAGTGTCTTACTGAGAGATAGTTTTTCTCTTCCATAGTTATAAATATATAAATTCAATGAATTACATATTGTGTTTGTGACTATCATCGATTTACTCACGCTTCATATTCATATGTACATCTTTCAAAGAGAGATCATATAGAAACTGTTATGGAACAAATCAAATGGACCTTTCATAAGTTGAAACAATTTCTATGTTTACCAGATGGTCACCTCGATTTCAGTTTTCTTTTTCTCTTGTACATATATATATAAAAAAATAAATCGAATCAGGTTTATCAATTTTTACTTATACAATTAGACATATATGTGGCGCGTTTTGAAGAAACCCAAGTAGAAATATCCGTAGCTCGCCGTAATTAAACACCGGCATGGTACTGATCCAATACTGGCTGTCGGTATTGACTTTCAGTACTGGCAGTGTACTGACTAATACACCGAATCAGTACTATGTCGGAGGTAAAAAAATATTA